ACCAGTGCAGTGCTTTAGCCCACTACACCACAAAAGTAAAGAAGCTTTGCAAAAATTAGCATGTAATTGTAAACATATGAAATGAAATGCTGACAACATTAATTGTAAAATGTTTTACTCTGTGTAAATGTAGTCGTGCTCATGGAGAGCAGGCACATGAATGTTTGGAGCAGACACAGCAGCAGCCAGATTGTCCCGCATGTGTTCACCTGCTCTTGCTTTAAGATTGTGTGGTACGGGGGGCCTCATCCTCTCTGTGCACTCAGACAATAGTCTCGATGCCCCTTTCTCATCCATGATCAGATTCAGTCTGACTGCAGCAGTGAGGGTTGTGATGGACAGCAGAGACAGCTGAAGGTGGTCAGCTGCTTCATCAGAATAAAGCTGCAGAACTGTCTCAGCTGTGTTGAGATGCAGTAGATGTGGGCTCACCGTCTGTAAATACATGATTGCTAGAACAATGTTTGAATAAAGCTTTGTTTCATGTGTCCATGACTTGTATTTAGTTATTTTCATGGTTACTTTTAATTATTCTTTTACTCATTTATTCATGTTTCCTGTTGTCAGTAAATAAAATGTAATTGTTTCATTAACTCATTACTCGACTGAAAATTGAGATGTATTCACCTTGGCTGCGTTTGTCTAGTGTGTAGTCATGCATAGCTATGGCATATGACAAAACAAATTACATTTTGCTAATTATTGGTCAGCATTTATCATTATTGTTCATAAGTGTTGGGGTGGGCTAGCAATGCATTCTGGGGTAATCTTAATTTCTAAGTAGTAATACTTACATTTTTCGAGTGTAAAATTAATAGTCTTCTCCAAAGGCGAGATCTTCTAGCAGCTGATCGACGTCTCCTTTGTGCAGATATTACAAATATTACAAACGCTGAGGAAAACCGTACTATGTAGTTTTGTGGAGTTACTGATTACATACAAGCTCAGGGAAAGATGGTTGTATCTTTAACAATGAACAATCATAATGACAAACAGCAGAAAACATAAATGGGTTTGCATACACCATAGTATGAGATTATATACACAGAAAACAAGGCACAATGACAAGGTTAGATATCTTTGAATAATCATAATATTCATATAATAAATTCATCAAAATATTGCATTTGTTGTTTATAAGCTGGAGGGATGAAAGTTAAATTCAACAAGAAAAAGAGGAAAACAAAGGAGATTTAAGCCGGTTTTGCTTGTGGATTAAAGATTTTGCACATAAAATAAAGTAACAACATATTCAAGAGATAACGATTTTGGGGTTTCGTAAGGAAAAATAATATATTTAAAGATTAAATTGTGGGTCATATTAGTAGGGTTGAAAATATACAAATTCAAATCAACCCAAAATGTATTGGTTATACTACAATCACAATAAAAGGACAGCTGTTTCTTCAAGACCACAAAATGAGCAAATTTCATAAACATCAAAATATTTACAGATCAATTAAACCTGCTGTTCATGTTTTAAGTTGTTGCGCTTGTAACGTCATAGATCACATGATAACGTCAACATGGCGGATGATGCCTGGATCGCATTCATACTCATACTCAACGAGATTTGGCTGTAGAGTACCTACTCCTTTAGCGCTCGTTAAGTAAGTACTTATGGAAATTAAGTACCTACTCTGAGTATGCCATTTCGGACGCTGCCAATGTCTTTATGAATGGGTAATCATGAATCTGACTCACTAGATTAGTTCAAAAACACACTCATTCATGAATGAAACAGTTTGCTTTTAGAGATGCGCAGCGGCTGAGCTGTTACTATATTTGGAACGATTTTCGTTGATGAAATAGAGCAAAAAAGGCAGTACTTGTTTATTGAACCGTTGTATTAAATCAATATATTTGCAAACTCCTTTAATAATTATTAAAAGCTGTCACTCTCCTTATCGCGATCTGTGGGCGCACAGAAAATGAGATTTCTCAAGACTCAAAAGCAGGTGCAAATGATACGTTCCGTCTTCCGTCATCGTGTTATAAGCGCGGAACCTGCGGGAATGAGTAGAATTATTAATAGCCGCAATCCCACGCCGAGTCCTGCTCTGTGTTCTCTGCTAATAACCCGACTGTGAATGATGCGAGCGTTATGTTGTCAGTGAGAAGCTGCGGCCGTGGCGGGGATGGTTTTTGGTGCGAGCAGAACAACAATGCGCTACATGTTTCTTCTCCACTCATTTTTTCCAATTGACGGAAATCCGTCGTAGCCATGGAAAAACTTTCATCCCTGCGATTGGATTAGACAGAAAAAAGTCATATACAGCTAGGATGGCTTGAGGGTGAGCAAATCATGGGGTAATCTTTATTTTTGGGTGAACTATCCCATATATTCTGACACACATGGATGTCTCTGGGCTCAGCCACGGGTATCTACTCGCTCTAGAACTGCCCCTGATGTATTGCTCACTGATAATGTCATTAAACTAATTGGACCTGATTGTAAAGTGTTACCAATGTGTCAGCATTTCATTAAAATCCTGCAGGAATGTCCATAAATCAAGTCAAAGCAAAGTTTTATCTATTTACAGCATTTATTTCAGGGATTTAACAGATTTAAAAGCAAAACAAATGAAACTTGCTCCCTCCTCATCACAACACGATCAGCCGGAAAGGTTCAAACGCGTGGGATCACGTGCAGTCTGTGTTTGGTGTGCTGTTCATTCACACAAACGTGACGCGTGACCGCGCCTGGTTGATCTGCCACACGTTCAGCTCTTCGTACTCGTCCAGAGCGGCCTGGAACTGCGCAGGAGTGAACCCACGAGAGACGCAGCGCTGCTCGGCCTCGGCCACTTTTGGTGCGAGCAGAACAATGCGCTACATGTTTCTTCTCCACTCATTTTTTCCAATTGACGGAAATCCGTCGTAGCCATGGAAAAACTTTCATCCCTGCGATTGGATTAGACAGAAAAAAGTCATATACAGCTAGGATGGCTTGAGGGTGAGCAAATCATGGGGTAATCTTTATTTTTGGGTGAACTATCCCATATATTCTGACACACATGGATGTCTCTGGGCTCAGCCACGGGTATCTACTCGCTCTAGAACTGCCCCTGATGTATTGCTCACTGATAATGTCATTAAACTAATTGGACCTGATTGTAAAGTGTTACCAATGTGTCAGCATTTCATTAAAATCCTGCAGGAATGTCCATAAATCAAGTCAAAGCAAAGTTTTATCTATTTACAGCATTTATTTCAGGGATTTAACAGGTTTAAAAGCAAAACAAACGAGACTTGCTCCCTCCTCCTCATCACAACACCATCAGCCGGAAAGGTTCAAACGCGTGGGATCATGTGCAGTCTGTGTTTGGTGTGCCGTTCATTCACACAAACGTGACGCGTGACCGCGCCTGGTTGATCTGCCACACGTTCAGCTCTTCGTACTCGTCCAGAGCGGCCTGGAACTGCGCAGGAGTGAACCCACGAGAGACGCAGCGCTGCTCGGCCTCGGCCACACGAACAGACCTCACCGCTCCTTCACCGGCCAGCTCCCGCAGCAGAGAGAAGATCACGTCAGCGGGACGCTGTGCCCTGCAGACAGACAAAGAGTGAGCCACGGGCATGCTGCAGTCAGTAGTGCGTGTGTGTGTGTGTACCTGGTGTTGTTGGTCTTGTCGGCCTGCAGCGAGTCTTTGCTCATCTCCATCAGTCGCATGGCCTCATTAACATCCTCCTTCTCTACAACATCCACCATCCGCAGACGAGCCTGAACACACACACACCTAAAGTCACATCCTCAGCTATCAAGTGTGTGAATGTCACCACATTCCGCAAATACAAACGATTTTTCCAAAGTCAAGTGTACTTCAGGCAAATGGATGAGTTGTGCCGGCACTGTCAGACCGAGACAAGTGCAATGCCTTGTGGGAAAGCCAGCAACTGCCCAAGTCTCCGCCTCTCAACACCAGCTAGTCTCTGCAACATGCGTCTGAGCGCTGCAGCGTGTCGCGTGCGGTCAGTTTTGCATGGGTTTGCACAGCGGCGTGACCCGAGGCTGACTGCCCACCCCGCAAAGCTGACCGTCACGCGACAAACACGGATCTCTGCATGTCAGCTGACGGACCGAACCTGCGCCAGCGGCAGCGTGTGTCGTGAAGTGCTGCTTCTACAGTAGAGATGAACACAGCTACCTGCACAAACAGCACTTTTAACGCCCGGCGCCCACATCAGACCAGCTCCAGAGATCCAAGTCCTGCTGATGATAACAGTAATGTTCTGCTGCAGGGGTGTGAGTGAGAGTGAGAGAGTGTGTGTGTGAGTGAGTGTGCGAGTGAGTGAGTGTGCGAGTGTGTGAATGAGTGAGTGTGTGCGGGAGTGCGAGTGAGTGTGTGTGTGTGTGTGTGTGTGTGTGTGTGTGTGTGTGTGTGTGTGTGTGTGTGTGTGA